TAGTAAGCTTTTGGCAAAGAATTTTTGAATCTTTCTACATCCTTACCTTGACCCAACACCAGCATCCCTAAGACCTTCGCCCTTTTTGGTCAGGTCAGTCTTGTTGAGTACTTTTGTACTCAGGGTTTGTTAACCCTTGTTGCAGGGGAGACGCATGCGCAGGCTTGTTTTGGTCCCTGCTGCATGTCAGTGTATGAAGTCGATGACGATGAGGAATGATGAATGGCCTTTGGACAAGGCACTAGTTTGTGTGAAATAAATAATGTTAATGTAATATTATCTCGCTACTATGGTTGTATGACACTTATGGTTATGTAAGTTTGAAACAGCTGGTTTGTAATAGTAAACTTAAGTCTTCCGCTTTATTACCTCTGGAATGTATATTGAAAAATGTTGTAATCTGCAATGACTGTGATTGGAATCCTGTTTGAAACATGGATGATTCGGGTTTCCCGAGGACACCCGACAGACCTGTTAAGTTGTTGGGAACTTGTGTACGCTATCTGAGGTCTGTTGAGACATCGATAGATGCACGTGGGCCCGATTTCTTAGGAGGTTCTGCCACACTAATGGCTAGAGGGGGGTGAATAGCCTAATAAAATTTCTACAACAACACTTAACAAAAGGATTAGACAGTTATGAGGCGAAGCGAATTTTGCACTAGCCTACCAAAATGCAAGCCACCTACCACAATTCTAGTTTAGATGAAGTATATCCACACAATAGCTATATCACTACACTAAGTTAGTGTGCTCTCAAATGCTAACTAAAGAGCCACACTAACCAAACTAACAAGCTCTCACAACTAGTTACACTAAGGAGCTTGACAACTAGTTTGCGGTAATGTAAAGAGTAGACAAGAAGGTTATACCGCCGTGTAGATGTATGAACCAATCAATCACAAGTGTGGATAACAATGAAGACCAATCACCTCGGAATCAATGATGAACACAATGATTTTTTACCGAGGTTCACTTGCTTGCCGGCAAGCTAGTCCTTGTTCTAGTGATTCACTCACTTGGAGGTTCACGCGCTAATTGGCTTCACACGCCAAACCCTCAATAGGGTGCCGCACAACCAACACAAGATACGGATCACACAAGCCACGAGCATTCCACTAGAGTACCTTTTGGCGCTCCGCCGGGGAAAGGTCAAGAACCCCTCACAATCACCACGATCGGAGCCGAAGACAATCACCACCCTCCGCTCGACGATCCTTGCTGCTCCAAGCTGTCTAGGTGGCGGCAACCACCAAGAGTAACAAGCGAAATCCACAGCGAAACACGAACACCAAGTGCCTCTAGATGCAATCACTCAAGCAATGCACTTGGATCACTCCCAATCTCACAAAGATGTTTAATCTATGATGGAAATGAGTGGGAGGGCTTTAGCTAAGCTCACAAGGTTGCTATGTCAATGCAAATGGCCAAAAGAGTGAGCTTGAGCCGGCCACGGGGCTTAAATAGAAGCCCCCACGAAACAGAGCCGTTGTACCCCTTCACTGGGCTGAACATGGGCCGACCGGACGCTCCGGTCATACTGACCGGACGCTGGTCCTCAGCGTCCGGTCGCCTGATTGCGGCCACGTGTCACCTACGTTCAACTGTGAACGTTTGATCTCAACGGTCGAAATGTTGACCGGACACTCCGACACTGTTGACCGGACGTTGGACCCTCAGTGTCCGGTCGTTTCCAGTAAGGGTCCAAATCCTATTTTTGCCGACCGGACGCATCCGGTCATGCTTGACCGGACACAGCCCAGCGTCCGGTGCTTAACCCTAATCACTGTGTCGTCTAACAGCTCAACCGGACGTAGCTTTTCAGCGTCCGGTCGCTGAGTGACCCAGCGTCCGGTCAGAAGACCGACGCCAGCATCATTGCGACCAACTCCATTTCACCTCTAACTTCTTCACCCTTGTTCAAATGTGCCAACCACCAAGTATATCACCTTGTGCACATGTGTTAGCATATTTTCTCAAACAATTTCAAAGGTGTTAGTACTCCACTAGATCCTAAATGCATATGCAATGAGTTAGAGCATCCAGTGGCACTTTGATAACCACATTCCGATACGAGTTTCACCCCTCTTAATAGTACGGCTATCAATCCTAAATGTGATCACACTCTCTAAGTGTCTTGATCACCAAAACAAAATAGCTCTTACAAATTATACCTTTGCCTTGAGCTTTTTGTTTTTCTCTTTCTTCTTTCCAAGTCGAAGCACTTGATCATCACCATGCCATCATCTTTATCATGCTATGATCTTCATTTGCTTCACCACTTGGAGTGTGCTACCTATCTCATGATCACTTGATAAACTAGGTTAGCACTTAGGGTTTCATCAATTCACCAAAACCAAACTAGAGCTTTCACCTTCTCACGTTAAGATCTAAAACGAGAGCTGTGGAAACAAACATTGAGTAAAGTTGGTCGGACTGCAAGGAACCTATGCCCCAGCGGCTATGGCGTTCTTGCTCACCAGTGTGATCAGGGTTCTTTTGCCCACGCCTTAAGCTTTGTAGCCTTAACAATGGAAAAGGGTCAGAATACAGTAACCTTTTTATAACACAAAAGAACTAAAACTTGTTCATTTATTACAAGACCACCACTTTGTTTATCTAACTAACTAATTTTTCAAAGGGATGATCTCATCCTCTATCTTGGCAGATAAGTCCAACGGACGAATCCGACGCTACCTCTGGCCGCTCCCATGAAGGACACGCCGGATGACGGTTTGCCCCATTCGATGGGCCGAGAACCGCCACAGGTAAGGAGGGATACGGAGCTGAAAACGCTCCCATGGCCCATTCAGGCCCAGGATTTTGAAGGTTGGCCCACCAACGGGTTCACAACCTCTCCGGGGCGCCTTTAGAGTGAGGGGTGGAAAGGAATGGGCCCGCTAGCGGCCAGTACCCGGGCGCACAAGCGCTGCAGACATCCCGGCCCATGTTCGAGTCTTGGTCGATTCACAGTCCATGGTTTTCCCTCAAAGAAAGGCAGCGAGCCCTTGGGGCTGGTCGAACGGACCCAAGAACTATATGGATTGGCCGCCAAGAATCTGGAGTCGGTCACCAGCTGACCCATGCCGGACCCTCGTGAACGGGAAGCCAAGGCCCCACTCGGACTAGCCCGTTAACAGCTCACCGAGCACCATGATTCATCCATTGAGGAAAACATGGCACGGCTCAGCCCCTCCGTTTTATCAAAAACGCTTCAGTGACCCCTCGACTGGACCCCTGCTACGCGCGGGGGCTCGAGGGAAGTTGGACTCGTAAGGAGACCGAATACGTGGTCGTATGACGATGGTGTATCGATTGGATCCTAGGGAGGGATCGAATCAAGAGAAATGTTTTTCGGCCCCCCGAATCCTGCAGCTACATGTTCCCAAGGAGTCCGATCGTGACAGAAGGGAATCGCAACCCTACCAAGACACCCCGCGGGCTACAATGGGAGATCGAGGCCCTCAGAGTCGTCCCGCCTAAAAAAAGCCTCGAAAGAAGTATTCTACTCCTCCACAGACATGGGGGCCACTGTTGGGTATCGATATTAGGGATACCCGGAGGAAGGAAGTTAACGACCACGAACGTTAATTCGCTCGGATGGTCCAAGACGTATTTAAGGTCTCACCCAAGTCCGAGGGCGTGGGCCCCGTCTCGCCACACCCCTCGGGCGCGGGCTTTGTCTTGCCCGACCCCGAGGGCACGGGCCCCGTCTCGCCAGACCCCTCGGGCGCAGGCTCCGTCTCGCCCGATGGGGATCCATACCGCCTCCAACCACTACGGGTCTAAGAGTACAACCCCAGGGTCAAACTTCTGACACCGGGAGGGAAGCAGGCACGTCTCGACGTGAACCGTGGACACGACGGACCATACCTGGGGGCTCACATCGCAAACAGTGTCGGGCGTGCCGGCGCTGTACTGCCTAATCCCCGTATGGCTTTTGACAGGAGTACCTGCTGACCACGCTGCCCGCCGAAACAGAGTGGAGCACCGCGACCGACAGACGACGCCTACGTACAGCGCCAATGATGAATAGGGCCACGACGTGGAGCCGTCACCGTCATCATCTACAGGACTGGCGGGACCCGCATAAAGGAGATGAAGGACGTCGCGACCCTGGAGGCCTTCTTCTCCCTCGCTTTTCTCTCTTTCTCTCTGTAACCTGCGTCTTCTCCTTCACCTATAAAAGAGAAAGCAGGACGCCCCGAGAGAGGCACGAGCACATGGCTGAACGAGCTCAACAAGATTCAATTCCGTTCGATCTTTTCATCAGAGACTTGGGACCTTCTCCCTCTCTCATCCGTTTGTAACCCCTACTACAAACTAGTGCCGGTAACACGAGCAACAGCAGACTAGACGTAGGAACATTCCACCCGAACCAGTATACATCCTTGTGTCCTCCGAGCACACTATCCGGGCTAAACGTGCAGATACAAATTTACTAGCCGGTGGTTCGAAACACCGACAAATATCATCAGATTAATTACGAAATGTATTTTCATAACAAATTAATTCAAAGACATAACTATGAATATTATTCACTAAAAACTTGGTCAAAGGTGAACAACTTTTCGTGGCACGCAAACTATAGTTGCATTATTTTCGGGATGGAGGTAGTACATTGCAGATTGCGGATAGCGGGCGATATAGCAGATGCTAAGTTCCAATAACATTATCTAATAATCTCATATAATTTAGGTATATGTGTTTCTCAAAAAAAAAATTTAGGTATATGTGTGCCTTAAAAAGTGACTTTATTACACATTATCAAATCAACTAAATGCAAACTAATGATAGACTAATAAACATATAACTTAAATAATGTAAATAGATATCTAATTATATTCGAAGAGTTGATTCACGGTTAAATATATCTTAAATTAAGAATAAACTAGTTTTGTTCTGAACTTGGATTGCTATAGCGGACTGCTACGTCAAATAATGCCGCTATATCTGTGGCCGTTACAAATGCTATTTAGTACCTCGCTTGAACTTCAACGGTCACACTGGTGGCTGGGCACCATTGGTCGTCAATGGCACTTCCGTTAACTTGCCGCTCTCCTGGCCGCCGGCGATCTCCGACTCCGGATGCTCGACCTCCAGGAACTCCCTCTTGTACTTGTATCTCATCACCAGCCACACAAACACAGCCATATTGAGCACCGACAGAAGCAGGAGGAACACGTAGTAGTAGTCAAGGTGGGAGTCATTGAGGTTGTCGCCGATCCAGCTCTTGCCGGCGCTCTCCCGCCCCCTCGTCGCACGGTCGACGAGCGTCACAAGAAGGCTGTTGAGGAAGTTGCCGACGCCGAGGCCGCTGGTGAAGAAGGTGGTGCCCAGGCTCCGCATCCCGTCCGGCCAGTGGCGGATGCACGATGCGGGATAAGGGGGGGCTAAAACAATAGAGATGTTAATTTGCATGAAGATTTAATGATGAAATCAAGCTTTTGCTACAGTGATTAGTGGTGAAATCAAGCCATTAGGGGGGCTGGAGCCCCCCCCCCTTCTGGGTCCGCACCTGCGTCCGGCGACTGGTAATAGAAGAACTCGAGGATGCCCACGGAGTTGAACACGTCGCCCACGCCCAGCAGCACGTACTGCGGCAGCATCCAGAATATGCTCATCGGCACGGTGTCGCCGGCGTGGTGGACGGACCGCTCCCGGATCACGCGCATACGCCGGACTTCGACGAGGTAGGCGCACGCCACCACCAGCACCTGGAACGCGCACCCGATGCCCAAGCGCTGGAGGAGCGTGATGCCACGAGGGTTGCCCGTGCGGCGCCGGACCAGCGGCACCAGCACGCGGTCGTACACCGGGATGGAGAGCAGCATCGAGATTGTGATGAAGCTGCCCAGGGACGCCGCCGGGATGTGCACACCGCCCATGGAGCGGTCCAGCGTGGTGCCCTGCTTCACGAACAGGGTGTTCACCTGCGCCCAGATCGTGCAGGGCACCAACGTCGACAGCCACACCACGATCATTCCGATAATCAGCTTCACCTCCTCCACCTCGGTCACCGTGCACGGCAGCAGCCGCCTCGTGTCAGACCTCAGGGCCGCCCTGTCAAGGACCCGGAACGCCCGCGTGTGGTGCAGCCGCCGCTTCCCCGCCGCGGTGTACCACGCGGTCTCGTGCTCCTGCAGCTCGGCAGCGTCGCTGGGAAGCCGGCGCCTCCTGTTCACGAACGCCTCGCTGAACACCCTGCCGGCCAGCCTCGCCGGGCCGGCTGCCGTGTCCCGCTGGACGGGCTTGTGCTGTTAGAACGGCGTGCCCACGTAGAAGAGGGACAGGGCGAGGCCGACGGTGGGGATGGTGTACCCGACGCCCCAGCCGACGTTCTCCTGCACGAAGACGAGGACGAGCACGGCGACAAGGCCGCCGGTGAAGGAGCTGAACATCCACCAGTTGAAGAAGGATGCCTTGACCTCGCGCTCCCGCGCGTCGAAGTCGTCGAACTGATCCGCGCCGAACGTCGAGATGTTGGGTTTGGTGCCGCCCGCTCCGATGGCCATGGTGTAGAGCGCCCCGTTGAAGAAGGCCACCTGCTGCCGCGTCGCCGCCGCGCAGCCGCCGTCCGGCGTGCATTGCAGCTGGAGGGACTTGAGCGATACAGCCAGCGTTATCAGAATCATTCCCTGCAACAGTTCCGTCAGTCCTAACAAACTGTCTAACATCGAGTTTGAAATGCTGTAGACAGAAACCGTTTGCCCGCAAATCCAGGACAAATCGGAGCTCTTTCCACCTCAACTGAAGACTCAGAAAATATTAAGCTGTGGGTTTTAAATTGTGAAAATAAACAAAGAATCATATTTAGCTGTGCATTTTATGGGCGGTGGAAGGCCTTATGCTGTGGAAAGATACAGATAGTTGTGGGTGAGAAGAGATGAATCACGAGTCACGACTAAGGATCTAGCGGTGTTTTCTTTTGATCGGCTCGTTCACTCGTCTCACCACTCAAATCACGTGAAATACCGTCTAATTTATTTGAGCAAGTCTTTGAGTCGATCCAATATCCCAAAATAATTAGAACTTGCATTCTTAATCACTACTAATCAGTCATGACGTCCATTGGATTGTGTGTTTAGTTGAATTATTTTGTCCCAACTCTCGTACATGATAAATCATTTCAGTCACAAGCAGGGGCAGAGCCCAGAATGCATGAAGCGCGGTGCTTGTGTAACGTAGTGTCAGTTAAGTGCTGAAGTACTCAAATTTGGGCTGCCAAGCTGTTCTTCATCGTAACATCGTAAGAGCATCTTCAACAGTCTATTCAGTTAAGCGCTGAAATACCTTTCTTAAGTTTTTGCAGCTTAAATTTTGACAATCCACATTCTCCAAGTTGGTTATTTACAATCTCTAACTGACCAAATAGGCCTTTAATAGTGGGTATTACACTGCTCTGACGTTTGTAAGCCTCAAGCGGCTGAGGTGGCCACCTCCTACTTTATGTTAGAATCATGCTATGTAGGGTGGCTGCTTAAAAGGGTAGAGGACTAGAGGTAGGACATGACTACTACGGCTACGAGTATGTTTGAGAGTGTGTTCTGACGAACTTTGAAATTGGAGCATACTAGAATAGAAATGATGTTTGACTAACAAGTTAGCTCTAGCTTCAGGAATGTGAGCTTTTTGAGGGTATATATATCGTCAGTCTCAGCGAGCTTCTAAGCATTAGGCTCTGCTTGGAAGAGAGTTCCTTCCCCCCGTATCTCAGGTCCCCACATCCTACCAAATGAATTGGAAACAAGTGAAACTGAAAACTGGTTTGACACCAAGCTCGAGCTCCTTTCATGTACTTCTACCGTGCTACGGTAGGGACTGGGCCGGAAGACTCCATTTTCGGAGCACTGACATTTCAATACGAGGGTCATAGTGTAAACACTTGACGGAGAACCCTAATTTTTTACAATTTGGCTCTTTTTTGAAGAAAATTTACGTTTGGCCCCTTGGGAGACGTAAAATCATCTTTGGACCCTGGGGGTCGACGCCAGAACTCATGGCGTCGAGGTAACACGTCTCGGCGCCACAAATCTTGGCTCCGAGGTTCCTGGCCAAGCACAACAGGGTATCCTAGGTGGCGTTGACGTGGCCGGTACCTCAACGCCAGAATACGTGACGCCGAGGTCGGCACCACAGATCTTGGCGCCAAGCTCGGCGCCATAGATTATATTTATGTGGATGCTTAGTTCAACGGTGCTTAATTCTGTAAGCTTGTGACCACATATGCTTTGTAAATGTGATGTTATTGTGCTGCCGGGAGTCAAAAATTTCAGGCCTTGCTTAGCTACAAGCAAAATAAGTGGACACCGGCACAAGCAACTGCATGCAATGGTATTTAAATGATGGGGTTATAGTTGACATTACCACTCGGTCCAGGATCGGTGCAGGCTCCACCTGTGTCCCGGCCCTCGTCACAAGGTCGTAAGACGTTTGTTCATTGTCGGAGGACTCAATGTCGGCATAGTCTGTTTGGGTCCATTACACCTTAAGCTTGGTCCTTGTTGCCCGTCTGTACCAAGATAGGTACGCTCTGAAGTTCTCGTTCGTGTAGGGCTAGTAAATCTCATACAAGTTCTCATGAATGTTTTCCTAGTGGTCGATGTACTCACGGTGCAAGGTCTCAAAGTCCGTCTCCTTCTTTTGTTTACGACGATCGATCCTGTTGGTTGACAGAAATGAAAATGCAAACTTATAGGCTTTAACAGGACATCCATAAGTACAGAAAAAAGACAAAAACATCTTTGATTAGTTGATTATATCTATTGGTGGCTTGGTGGTGGTATATACTCTCATCGGGCAAAGTGGAGCTACAATTGTTACTGTGGCCATTGTTTGTGTGCAGTCAAATTGTTGGACCATCAGTGCTACTACTATGGCAATCGGACAATTTGGACCAAGTTAAGAATCTGTCAAAGGACTGCTAAATCCTATGCAGCACTATGAGCACTACAGACCTGAGAAAGACTGAATGAGGCTATTTCCATTCGAGTGCTTCTTCTATGTACAGCATGTTTTAGATTAGTCCTAACCAAACGAAGTAAACCATTACCTCAATCACAAGTTGACTAAAATGTAGAACCCCAAAAAGCCATGAAGAGGATACTACGAACAACAACTATTCAAAATCAACAGGCAAGTTTCTCTGAGCATTAGGGCTATGGAAAACAACAGGCAAGTACCATGTCAATTGCAACTTGCCTGTTGGAGTAGTCTGCACATGATCATCACAAAAAAATACCCCTGGATATGATCATACAGTAAGGCTCTGAATCACAGAATTTCAGTGGTGGCTACTAGTTTGTCGAAACTCCGCTACAAGTAGGTACAGCTAAATCAATTGCAAACTCAATTAGAGACAATTTCTAGTCCATTTCATACTCAGTTACAATTTGGGATATAGGATAACTACAACTATGGACACATACTGACTACAAAAATTCCACATTCTGCAGCCATTTAAAAGAATGACACAGCATATAGTTGATGCAACCAGTTGCATTCTAATTGCAGCGGGTTGCAGCTAGCTTATATAGATAGGTGAATGCTATCCATATAAGCTCGGCAATGAAATCCTCACCCACAAAATTATACATGCCTGCACGCCAAACAATTACATAGGAAACTAATAGATAGTTACAAGAATTTCTATGGTGCAATTGCAACTTGGAAAAAAACAGCTAACAGATAAACACACAAGAGGCCATACAATGTAAGCACACTTGCCGACCAAACTAATAAGGAACAAGCTTTAGGACTAGCTGCTGAAAATGGGTACTGCACTTGCAGAGGACAATGCGCTAGAAAATAGCAAGAGCTCACAGCTGTTACTAAAAATACAGAAAACAACAATGTTGGCTTAACTCAGGTGCAGCGGAAGAAACAATGCTCAAGCAAACTGGTCTGTCCAACTTGAGCAGCAGAACAACAAAGTACATTTCTCAAGCAATGAGAATAAATTAAGCTTCAGTCACTAACTAATGATTGCTTGAAAAGATGGTTCCCCTATTGCATCAAAATGACATAACAAAAAGGATGAAACCTTGGTAGCCGGTTGTTACACATGAACTGAGCAAAGTCTCATGCAAACTTGACAAGCAGCAGGATATTAATTCATATAGAGCAAGATTAAGGCTACAACTCTCACAGGGATTAAACAAATCAAATAAGTGCTTGCAAGAATATTCAAGTCCTAACCATTGTAGCAGGAGAAAATTACTTTAGTAACATAAGCCCATGGCCGAACTGTGAATATGCTTACCTGACACTTGATGCTACTTACCTACAGAGAACAACCGAACTGCTATTTTAGTCATTGACCTCTGAATAAGCATCTCAGCAAACTACTAGTGTCTAAACTGTATATTGAACATGGCCGCAGCTACTGAATAGCTAACAAACACCCTGCAAGTCGAGCTCTACCTGCATGTTGAATTGAACTACCAAAGTCTGTAGAGAACATGTAGCCTGCTACTCACCTGTTGCTCTCACAACACTGAACTCAAACAAAGAACAGCAACTGCTGCCAAAAGGACTGGGAAGTTGTGGCTGCTGAAAATCACTGCAAGGTACAGAAAGCTAATAGCTCAAACCCCAAATCTAAAAAACAATTCAAATCAACTCCAATTGACATGATATTCGAAACAAAGATTCACCAGATCATGTGCAGACTACTCCAACAGGCAAGTTGCAATTGACATGGTACTTGCCGGCAAGTTTCTCTGAGCATTAGGGCTATGGAAAACAACAGGCAAGTTGCAATTCCTGCTGTCAGTATGACACTATGCTCTACTCAAAATCTATCATGCAGATATTTTTTCACTGATCTCTTTGCATAACAAATTCAGAACTAAGAACCAAACTTGAGCTACAGGTGCAAACATTGAACATCTCACATGCTGAAACTGTGAGAGCACAAGCAGATAACAAGTGCTGTACAGGCTGCTGAGAAAATTGCAGAGTAGTCCCCAATTTGGACCATCAGTGCCGCCAGAAAAGACAGTGACCTCATTTACTGTATTCAGAACTTGGCATGTGTGCACGTCATAATATTCAATAAAGTATACAACAGTTCAAAGACGCTTACTTGTGCAAGTCTATTGATGTCGAGAACGGCTCCACGGGCCACTCCTGCCTCAACCCAATTTGGTGTGCAACCCGGTGTGGCAGGTGGAACTCAACCGCGTAGAAACAGATCAACGGGCACCGCATCAGGTACAGGTCTTCGTCCATCTTGCATATGATGCTGAACCCAATGTGCTCGTACTGTTCATCGTCGTACGGCTCCCAACTAACCTACATTTGATTCTTTAGTCAAGTAGTGCCTACATCAGAAAAACAAATTAGTATGTGAAATGCAGCTAACTCACCAGCCCTGGCGTGAGTGCGTCGAGCTCGTTCGCGAACTCGATGTAGGCGCGTTTACTCCGGGCGAAGGGACCCTTAACCTGGTTCCAAAGGTAGGCATACGTCGGTCGACGTCGAAGGCCATGCACCTCGAACCAGGGACGAGGAT